GCAGCAGTGCACATCAATTCAGTGGCTGTCCTGTTCTACCTTTCCATATAGACTTGTCTACTGAGGAGTGCTCCTCCATGTTTGTTGCGGAATCCCTGATTATTGCAGAGAATTCCGGGAAGTATTCCAGGACATTTGCCCAGCTAACACAGTGTGCTGTATCACCCATTAATCAAGTTTTTATCCCTTCCTTCTGCAAAAGGACCAGATTGCTCCATGCATTGAGTCCCTAACTCAGCAGCTCCCATCAGGTTTTGAACCTTTCTGACTCTCTGTGAACTGGATAAAAACCATAGCTAGAACAAGTATACCCTATTCCAGGAGCATGGAACACCCCCCTCCCGTTTGGACCACATTCTCTTAGGGTATTCTGTTGGAGGCCACTTGCCAGTTATAGATAGGTGGAGAACCAAAAGCTGGCAAGGAGACCAGGTTTCAAAACCCCACTCAGCCATGAAGCTCACTGGGTATTTCGGCCAGTCATTATCTCAGAGCAGAGGTAGGGAACCCTTTTGACTGGAGCAATTCATCTGTCGTTCACATGAAATTAGAGAGCTGGACTAGTAGATCTGGTTGACCGTGGTTCATAACCTTATGCAGCTCACTAGATGACCTTGGGAGAGCCATTATCTCTCAATTTAGCCTACTTCACAGACTGGTTGGGAGGAGAAAACAGAGAGAGGGAAAACAGGTACAGTACCCTCAGCTGCTTCTCCTTCTACTCCATCATTTTGCCCAGAAAGAAGCTTCCATGTTTCTGCAACTTTCTCAGGCCACTTTAGAATTTTGTAAAAAAAATTCTCTATAATTTTAGTTTGGTTTTGGAAACACCCAGGAATGCTGCAGATTGGAAACTATAGGAGAGAAGATTTGAAGAATAAAAGAAGAGACTCATAAGCACCCCCTGGCCACACTGAAGGTAAGACAAGCATCTTTTCTTTCTTTCTTTCTTTCTTTCTTTCTTTCTTTCTTTCTTTCTTTCTTTCTTTCTTTCTTTCTCTTCCATTCCACCCTTGAGAATTTTGCTGATTTCTTTTCTTCCACTTTCCTAATATTCTGGCTGCAATTTCTTTTCTCATCAGCCAATGGACAAAGATTTTTTTTAAAAAAGAAGAAATTCTCAGCACAAGGACTATCAGCAATTTGAAGCAAAATGTGGTTAGCCTGCGCTACTGACAGTTGCCTAAGGGGCAAAGAAAAATCTAAGGGTTATTTCTTCCCTTTCCCCTTTAGGATATCAAAATAATTCTGTGAAGTCAGGAGACTAGAGGTATTGACTTTAGGATGACAGATTTTTTAAAAGTGCTCAAAGTGTTGAGCTTGGCTAAGCAATGATAAAGTGGGCCCTTGATAACCATCTACAAGTCTAGAAAAGGGTGTTAACACCAAGGAAAGAAGAATTGCTTAATGTCATGTCCAGGCATATTGCAGAAAGGACAAGGAGAATATTTAGAGAAGGACAATATTAAGAGAGGGACAACTGTTGTTCAGGGGACACAGCTATGGGCAGAAAGAAAACTTGTCAGGAGTGCATGCAGGAGTGCATGACCAGTAGGGCTTCACAGGACTGGGGCTTTCCTAAGTTTGTTCTGAAGAGGCACAGGTGAGGCTGATTGGTAACTCACTGCACCTGGTGGCAAGAGCCGGGAAGGGATATAAGGTCAGCATTTCCCTTTGGCTCTTTGCTGCGGCAACACACTTCCTGACTTGCTGTGTTTGGCTTCTTGACTCATTGTTCCATACCCTTGGACCCTTGGCTTCTGGACTCCTGGCTTCGGGACTCCCATTCCAGCTCCCACCCTGCCGTCTTGCCCCTGGTCCCGATGTCCGCCGCCAGGACTTCGACTGCCCATAAACAGGACTGTGACAAAACTGTCCAGAACCCTCTTTAACTAAGCAGAACAGGAAAGATCTCTACACATCAGATCAATACTCTCTGTACTAAGAAATGCAAACTGACATGGTGGGTGCAAGATGGTGTGCTCAAGAATCTGCAAATGGGGCTCATTTTCATGATTTCCATTTTACTCTGCACATCTACAACTCCCTTCACCCCGACCATTGGCAATGCCAGCTGTGGTTGATGGAAGTCCAACAACATTGGGAGAGCCTCAGGTTCCTTGACCCTGCAAGAGTCCCTCCCTTAGACATACCCCAGTCTTCTTGCAGTAAACTAAAGAGCGTGGAGGCAAGGGTTTCAAGCACTGGCTGTTACATCTAGAGCCAGCTTCTCTTGTTAATTGCAAACCACCATTACATGAAAAGACTCTGGGATCTACACAGTAAGTGGCTGAAGATGGTGTAGCCATTCTCAGCTTTGTAGGCATAAAACCATACTCCAAATAGCACTCCCCAAAACAACAGGGAGACAATGCAATTTATATCAGCAGGAGCAGTCAGTGCAGTGTGCTCCAGGTGTTGTGGGACACTGACTCCCATCAATCCCAGTCACCATAACCAATGATCAAGGATGTTGGGAGTCCCATGTACCTTGTTGCCTAGCCCTGTACCAGAGTGTCAGGGCTAACACTACAGTCCAAAGCACCAATGGGTGTGTATGGGGGGGGGATTGTGTATTTCTATTCTCATACAAAAGCAGAAGAGACCACAGTTTTCTACTGAAGCCCGCATTAGAGGCTTGAGAGGAATGACGGATGACCAGAGCTAATCATTCACATACTGTCAGCTCGATTGCACATTCCTTTTTTAATGCGATCTAACCCCTGCAGCAGCTGAGATATAGTGTACATCGTTGCTTTAGTCAGGGTTTCATTCATCACGAGAGAGAGAAAAGGAGCCCCTTCACCTCCTTCTCCTCCTCTGTTACAGATACTACATAGTGACTGAAAAGAAACAGCCAAAGACCAGGGGCTCATTCCACCCAATGCTACTCTTGCATAAACACCATGAATTTCCATGGAAGTGGAGCCTAGAGGCATTGCTTCCATTCACGCAAGCTTTCCCCAGCTTGGTGCCCTTCAAGTTCATGGGTAGAGAACCTCGGAGCCAGGAGCAAAATGGGCCCCTCCAGGTCCTTGTTCTGGCCTTTGGGACTCTCCTGCCTCCCACTTCACAGGCTACCACTTTCACCATCCCTGGTTCATATGTCCTTTGAGTGCTTTTGCCTGCTTGGAGTATGTCCCTGAACTGCAACGGTGCCTGTTGCTTGCAGGTTAGAGAGATGAGGAGCGTGTTTATGGAAATCCCTCAGTTTTGCATGGCTTGAATGTTGCCTACTATGTAGAAATCACCTCCATTGCTCCATCCACTTTGACTCTGGCAACACCCCTATTTGACTGTGGCTCCACCCACCACTGGAATGCGGCTGCTGGAAGTTGCCCATGAGGTTGAAACCATTGGGCTGAAAAAGCTTTCCCACTCCTCAGCTATGCATCCCTGACAGATGGCCATTTACTCTTTGCTCAAATACCTCCCTAGGCAGTCTGTTCAACTGTCAAACAGCTCTTACCATAAGGCATCCCTCCCTGCACCATTCACCTCTAGCTCAGTTCCCTGAAATTTCCACCCACTGGTTCTAGATGTGTCCTCTAGTGCATCAGATGACATATTGTCATTTTCTGAGCAGACTTGGGAGGAGAAGGGTAGTGGCTTCCTGAGAGTGGGACCACCAGTACCAGTAAGCTTGAATGGTTTTAGCCTTTCCACCCCTAACCCTACCTGGCTTGCCCCACCCCACCTTGCAATTCCATTGCCTGTTAATGGGGCAGACAAATTACAGTGAGGTGTTCCAGATCAGTTGAGAGCATTTCACAGATGAAGACATTAGGGGATGGAGAACACACATCTGAATGGAAAAACAGCAATTGTGCCAAAATAAAGTCCTTGTTTGGAAAGGAATTCAGATGAAAATTTCAGAAGCAACTAAGGATGGAAGGATCTGTCCATATTGGTTCTTTCCCATCTCAAATCCAGTCCTCCTCATTCTGAAGGAAAAGAAAAACTCATTAAAATTCATCAGCATTTTACTGTAAATTTAGCCTAAGAAACACATTTTTATATACAGTTTTGACTAATGTACATAATTTTGCAAACAGTTTCCCCTAATATGATGCATTTTTTTCTGTTTTTTCACTAATATGATCATTTTTATGTACACTTTATCCTAACATATGGATTTTTGTAAAGACTGTTGGAGAACTACATTGCAAAATTCAGATAAGTGCAAATTTTGCACTTCGCTTTTATGTATGAACTGAATTTAATTTCTCCTCCCTCCCTTGGAGCCTCCCTAGCAAAAAAAGAAGAACAATATTTACCTGGTGGTCTGTGTTCAGTTAGCCGCCGGGCATAAAAGCTGCACAGTGTTCCTACTCTGTGTTCCTCCTCCAGATACTGTTCCCCATAAGCAGAATGCTCTTCCTGGTGAGATGCTCCTGTCTTTTTCATTTATTAGGAACACAGGTTTATATCGAACTAAGTTGTACTCAAAACTGACCCATTGGAATTAATGGACCTATGTTAGTCAAGTCCATTAATTTCATTGGGTCTGCTCAGAGTATGACTAGAACTGAATACAACCAATAGGAAACTGCCTTATACAGAGTCAAACCATTCGTCCATCTAGCTCAGCAGGGCCGACTCACTCATGAGGCAAAGTGAGGTGACTGACTCAGAGAGCAGGATCTACAGGGGCAGCAGATACGGCCTTCAAGGAATTCATTGCCTGCTTCTGCTTCCATGGTAGCAGCACCAAGTCTGGTGCACTCCTTGGCAGCTGGATCTGGTCTTGGCAGCCCCTACAGCAGCCTCTTGGGAAATATGTAGGCAGCACTGATGTTCTTCTCCCACCCTTGTCCCCGATGCAGATCTATATTCCTCCCTTGATCCTGATGTAGATCTTCACTCACCCCTTCTTCCCTGACAGTGGGTGGTGCACCATTTTGTGATTTGCCCCAGGCGCCAAAATGTCTGAGGCCAGCCCTGTAGCTCAGTGTCGTCTACACTGAGAATCAGTGGCTCTCTTGGCTTTCATTTCTACCTGGAGAAACCTGGGATTGAATCTGGACCTTCGGCGTGCAAAGCAGGTACTCTACCACTGAACTACCATCTTTCCCATTTATTAAGGAGGATTTTAAAAACATTCCTCTTCACCCCAGTGTTTTGATTGCTGAAAGAGACTGTTCCCAGCAGGCTTGAAATGAATGACTATGAGGACTAGGATTTTAAAAATGTTTTTGGACATCTATTTTTTAAAATGTTCTTAATTGCTTTCAAAACGTATGGGTTCTCATTTCATTTTAATGGTATTGATTTATTCCTTTTGTTCTTTGCCATTCTGGGCTCCTTTAGGAGGAAGGGCAGATAAAAGTCTTAGAGGTCTTGAGCTGGTGGACATTGCCAGTCATTTGGTTGCCCACAGAAACCCAGGTCTCCCAAAGAAACAGAACTGACCACCTTCCTTTCAGCTCCACATTAGCTGACAAAAAATATACTGGAGTTATGTAAGATGCAGGTATCGCCTCCATCCCTGCGCAGGGAAACAGATCATTAATATTTTACAGGTTTCTCATCTCCTCTGTTAGCGCAATTTATCAATGCCCAACAGGTCTTCTGCCAGCTATACATCAAAACTATTTTCAAAATATTTCATTGTCAGCCTGTGGCACCCTCATTATTTATTACGATAAGGGACATGATGAACAAGAACAGTCGGTGGCTTATTTACTTAAATGCACTTTCCCCCCACCTTAAACCAAAGGATCTTTTGAGGATTAGGTCCAATACCTGTGGAAGGGTCAAAGCATTGCATTCTATACCCTCACCTTCTGGGGCTATGCTGTGTTCATTTACACTCACAAAATCGGCAGGCAACACGTAGTTAAACCATGGAACTTGCTCCCACAGGAGACAGTGCTAGCCACCAACTTGGATGGTTTTAAAAGAGGATTGGACAAATTCATGGAAGAGAAGTCTGTCAAGGGCTAATAGCTGTGGAGGCTTTGTTGTGCTTCCACTGACAGAGGCATTAGACATCTGAATACCAGTTGTTGGCTCCCAGTACGTTTCCGAGCACAATTCAAAGTGTTGATGCTGACCTTTAAAGCCCTAAACGGCCTCGGTCCTGTATACCTGAAGGAGCGTCTCCACCCCCATCGTTCAGCCCGGACACTGAGATCCAGCACCGAGGGCCTTCTGGCGGTTCCCTCATTGCGAGAAGTGAGGTTACAGGGAACCAGACAGAGGGCCTTCTCGGTAGTGGTGCCCTCCCTTCAGATGTGAAGGAAATAAGCAGCTATCTTCTCTTTAAAAGACATCTGAAGGCAGCCCCGTTCAGGGAAGTTTTTAATATTTAATGCTTCATTGTTTTTAACACTTGATTGGAAGCCGCCCAGAGTGGCTGGGGAAACTTTGCCAGATGGGCGGGGTATAAATAATAAATTATTATTATTATTATTATTATTATTATTATTATTATTATTACTGTTGGGGATTGCAGGTGGGCATAATGTCACTGTGCTCAAGTCCTGCTTGCAAGTTTCCCACAGGCATCTGGGAGGCCACTGCAAGAGCAGGACGCTGGGCTAGATGAGCCATTGGCCTGATCCACAGAATCAGCAAGTTGGAGTGTGATGGCTTCCAGAATCTGCTGATTATTAATCTAGCTGCCACAATAAACAAAAGTATTAGCTCTTTGAAAATAATATTTTGAGAATTTGCCAAAAATAGACAGCCATGTCAACCAAGAAGCATTTGTATACTTTTGCCAGTTGTTTGGTTAATTTCATTAAAATCCTCTGACCAGAATGTGATTGTTTCTTTGCATGACCACCACATATGGGAAAACGTACCAATTTCACCACAACTTCTCCAGCCTCTGGGGGATAAGGAGGTGTTAATTCTATTCAATTTGACTGGTGTGAAATGCCAACATAGGATAAGTTTTAAAGATTTTCCCTTTGTTCTTGCCGAGACTGATTTAAAATGAATTCTAGACCAGATGGCTTCCCACTGATTGAATTGTCAATGATTTCCCAGGGAATTGCAGCCACAGGGCAGCGGATGAGCTACACATTTCAATTCCTTCTTGTTTTGTTATTTCCTACACACCGATATCTCTTGTATCCACACAGGCATTGATAAAACACAACTCCAGAGAGTGACCAGAGGGTGGGTCATTTGGCAAGGCCCCCCAAGAATAGAGGTGAAATATAATCAGAGTCGCAAAGTGATTTCATGCTCTTTATTCAGCTCATAGTGGTGAGGAGGAATGAATGAATGTCCCCTCAAAGTATTGAGGAGGAATGAATGAATGTCCCCTCAAAGTATCTGCTTTATATACATTATTTACACAATGGGCTGCACATGATTGGCTAATTCCAGAATTCTACTGTAAGCCAATCAGGTTGTGGATTCGCTTCTATCTGGAGAATGATTGGGTGGTTCCTGCCAACCAATCATACTGCTGCATTGTTCTAGGACCAATCAGACTGCTGCATTCTGAATCCTATTGTTCTAGGACCAATCAGACTGCCGCGTTTTGGATCCTATTGTTCTAGGACCAATCAGACTGCTGCAGTTTGGATCCTATTCAACTCAGTACATAACAAGAGGGTTCATCAACCAGAAATGCAACCATTTTCATTTTACCTAGAGTGTCCAAGAATATAAAATACAGCCAAAGAGGATTTTCAATTTATTTGCCTTCCCTCTTGAATATGTCCGAGGCCTCAAAATCCGGGACATGATCTTTACATGCTAGCCCACCACATACATTTCTGTAGCATAGTGTGTTGTAAATGTTACTAGGCAGATTCAGAGAAACACACACATGTCAACAGCACACTCACACCCACACACCCACAATACTTTGGAAAACATCATGAGGAAACCTAAACTACCAAGCCTCTATATGAGAGGTAGTCAAAATGGTGCCCTCCGCATTTTGTTGGACTACAACTCCCAGCAGCCAGCACAACCGATAGATCAGGGATGATGGGAGTTACAGTCCAGCAATATCTGAAGAGCACCATTTTGGCTACGCTTTCTCAGGTCCTTAGCCTTCAGCTGCATTTCGTTCTCTCCCACCACTTGTAAGAGTGAGCTAAATTATCTGAATGGAGGCCCCAAAGATATCTACATTTGTTGTTCATATTTGTATCTTGCAAATGATGGAATAAAATATAGTGTTGATTTGGTTAGAAAATCATGTAGGGCTTTGGGGTTTTTCTAAACTTATCTAGGTCTGTTCCAAAAGTGTGTGGTGTGTGTGTGTGTGTGTGTGTGAGAGAGAGAGAGAGAGAGAGAGAGAGAGAATTAAATTCATACACAAACTACCACAACCACTAAACCTGAGAAGCAGCTGTTTGTTGTTGACAGATGCCTCCCGGCCTTTTTCTTTTTCTTTTCTTCCAGTAATCCTGTCATCACCTAAAACCCATTCACTACAAAACATCTGTTCAGGGTGAAAAGATTTTTAAAAAGGTGTCGGTATTTCTTTTCTATTTCTTGCAATTTATAGTGGCAAACGCTTTCAGGGTTAGATCTGCGTTTTCAGTTTCCTTTGGAGAATCGCTCTTGTTTTATCTGACAGCAAAGGGGAAAGTTGGCAATGGGATGCCAAAAGTAAGACATTTTTATTTTACTTTGGATTGTTAGAAATTGGAATGTTACAATCAGTAACTAAGGGCCCAAACTGTTGTGATGTTGGCTTGAACTTTAACAAATAAAAACTACCCTGACTGTGGAGCGGGGGAATGAGCAATGTTGTGGGGCTAGAACCATAGAATTGTATGTAAAGCTGAAGGAATCCTGCAATGCCCAACGTAGGGCGTGAACTCATGATTCTTGAACTCAGGTCTGTCGACTGAGCGCTCTCTCTCTCTCTCTGTCGAATCCTTTATCATTGCACTATTTTTTGTGTGATTGGTTCCCCAAACTACTATTTGCCGTCATGGGAAAATGAAAAAGCTGTGTGTATAATGCTTGTCTTTTCCTGAAAACAACTTGGGGCGGGGGAGTTGGTATACAAAACATCATAGAAAAATTGTTAAAGGCAGGCCATCTAGGTTAGCATTGTGTACATCAGGGTTTCCCCAAACTTGGGTCTCCAGCTGTTTCTGAACTACAACTCCCACCATCCCTAGCTAGCAGGACCAATGGTCAGGGATGATGGGAATTGTAGTCCAAAAGCAGCCAGAGACCCAAGTTTGGAAAACCCTGGTCTACACTGACTGGCAGTGGCTGAAACTAGGCCAGAACTGAGACCTCCTGCATGTAACACCCCAACAAACCTGCAGCCTGTCTGCCTCCACTCTTGCCTCATGTCCTAGAAAGACAGGAAGCTTCTGTATGGTGCTGCCATGGTCCAGCTAGTTCAGTGACACCTACACTGACTGGAAGCAGATACTGAGGGTTTGAGGCACAGATCTTTCCCATGGAACCCTAGCAGAGAATTGCGACTCAGTAACAACAAGCACTTTTCTTAGCCCATCCAAAGCATGCTCTTCTGGTCATTCATTTATTTAAATCAACAACATTTGTATACCGCTGAATTGTAACAGGATTGTAACGAAACCTCTAAGCAGTTTACAAGGAATTAAAATGAATAATAAAAAGAAGTAAAATATTTAAAACTGGCAGTAAAGTATAAGACAGATGGAAAATATGTCAACACCCATTTTCCTGGATAGGCTTGCCTAAACAAAACAAAACAAGATGATTTGTATTAAGCAGACACCAAAAAGTATACAGTGAAGTTGCCTGCCTGAGTTCAATAGTCAGGGAGTTCTTGTATAATGGAATATACATATACATATACATATAACCAATCAAAAGATTTTCAGGACTTCCAAGTGCAGCTGCTGGATTAACATTATAGATCAAGGTGCAGTTGGAGATATTAGTGCTCCAGTGAATCAATAACCCACAAGCACAGGACTTTTGCAACGATCCATAATAGTGCTTGAGGAGACACTATGGGTACCGAAATAGAACAAGCAGACAGCACAGTTGCACAAGTGGCCACACTTGTAAAAAGGAAGGTGAGAACAACTTTTGGGCTACTTGAATCATGGGAATTGGAAGAGTTTTCATTAGCTGTTTGAAAGCATGTCAAAGTGCAAGTAGATAAATAGGTACCGCTCTGGCGGGAAGGTAAACGGCGTTTCCGTGCGCTGCTCTGGTTCGCCAGAAGCGACTTAGTCATGCTAGCCACATGACCCGGAAGCTGTACGCCAGCTCCCTCGGCCAGTAAAGCAAGATGAGTGCCGCAACCCCAGAGTCGGCCACAACTGGACCTAATGGTCAGGGGTCCCTTTACCTTACCTTTAATAATGCTAAAAAGGCCACCTGGGGCTCTGGTGTTCCCTATGGTCCTGTTTCACAACTTGGCTTGGTAGTAGATTTCCACTGGCAGTTCTATGACATCCTTTTTTTTTTTTTTTTTGAGAATGTGAACAATCAGGTTTTTATCAGTAGGGGGCAGCAAAGTAATGGATATGCACATACGTTCTCTCTGTTTTCCATTGGGGGCAGCGACATGCAACTTGGCAACAACTGGATACATTTTGAGATTGTTCTGACACATAAACACCTTTGAGCTGGGTTTTCAAAGGTTATTTACGCACTAAAATGGGAATTAGCAAAATGTCCTTCCATGCCAAAAGTAATTTTGAATATTGTACAGTGATGGTTACCCTGTTCTTTGTCAGATACTGTGTGTGTATACACCTACACCGATCACAAACAATGCTTGCATTTAAGCCACTACATGTATGGACACAATTTTTTATTTTTTTTAAAGCAAATCAGTCTAACAAGGCAAAGGATAAATGTAGATGATAAAAAGAGTTTTGTGATCCAGCTTTGTGGAGAGGCATCTTTTTCCAGTTGCTTCTTGTATGCAAAAAAAGAGCATTTTTTAAATTAAATGTTTGCTTCAGCTTTAGGTATCACTGCACTTACCCGTGGTGATGCTATTAATATGAATAGCAAAGGCATTCATAATATATCGTCACTGCAGCAATTCCCTTTTAAGCCATTACTTTTCCCTGCATAAAAAGTCAGCAAATTATCCAAGTTTGTTTCATTGACTTTCTCACACCTTGAGAAATAGCCCATTTGTATTATCACCGTTTGATATATTTCCCATTTGCCACTTTCCTTTGGCAAGCTGGCATTTTAATTTAATTATACTTTTTGTTGTTAATGGTCTTTATTTTTCAGTGTCTGTGTGGTAAAGTGCTTCAGGTTTGAATTCTTCTCTCTCTCTCTCTTTTAAAAAATATCCATTCCTTCCCCACCTCTTCCGCATCCCGTTGCCAAGCTATATAGTGCAAATTTATAAACTGTTAAAATTCAGCGTAAAATTTACAGAGGTGGAATGAAGCAATCCGTAAAAGAACCCCTACTTAAATGATTAAGTGTTTTCCTCACTTTCAGAATGTGAGCCCTGCATCCACTTAATCTTCAGGCGCTGCTAATTAGGAATAGGGAATGCAAAGCAAAAAGATTTGGAAATACAAAGAATGCCCACAATCTGTGCATCTGGGGCATTGCACAAGGGCTGTCTAGATTCCACTCCAGCACGGAATATCCACAGAATTTAACGTGTCACACAAAATTCAGCATCCTTTGCTTTCTTCTTTCTTTTCTTTATTACATTGTTTTTAACATCTGTTCTTCTTTTATAGCTTTCTACATAACTCTCTCTCTGACCATTTTAGCCTCACATCAACCCTGGAGTGTAGGTTAAACCGAAGGGGGTGGAGAGTGGCCTAGTGATTATCATGGCCACATTCGGATCTGAAACTTGGTTCTGTGCTGTGTGCATACCATACATCGAAAGCACATGACTTTCCCAAAAGACTCCTTAGTTCACCCCTCATGGAATTACAACTCCCAGCACCTATATGAAACTATGGTTCTCAAGATTCTTTGGTAGAAGTCATGTGTTTTTAAGTGTGCTTTGAAGGTGTGGTGGGTTGTGTAATGTTAGCATCTGGGCTAAGGAGAGGAGAAGCTGAGCTCCCGTTGCTCTGTCCCAGCTCCTGCCAACCTAGCAATTCAAAAGCATGCCAGTACAAGTAGATAAATAGGTTCTGCTGCGACGAAAGGTAAACAGTGTTTCCATGCGCTCTGGTTTCTGTCTCAGTGTTTTGTTGTGCCAGAAGTGGTTTAGTCATGCTGGCCACATGACCCGGAAAGCTGTCTGTGGACAAATGCCAGGTCCCTTGGTCTGAAAGCAGATATGAGCGCCATATCCCATAGTCGAATTTGACTGGACTTAACCATCCAGGGGTCATTTACCTTTTACCTCCAGTTGTTGCTGGACTCCAATTCCCATCTGCCCCAGCCAGCATGGCTCCTGGTCAGAGATGATGGGAGTTGTAGTCTGGCAACATCTGGAGGCAGCCTGATCACACACACACACACACACACACACACACACACACACACACCACAAATTTAATAAATATACATATTAAATTCCTCCATAATTTTCAACTAACATCTGACTTCCCCTCCACCCCTCTGTGGTTTCCCCATAATTCCTAATATAGCTGCATATTATAACTTATTCTACAGACTATCATCTCCATATTATTCAAAAAAATAGTTTACTGCTGTTCGAATCCTACTTGAGTTCTAATATGTTTACAATAGCTTTTTAAATACAGTGGTACCTCAGGGTTAAGTACTTCATTTGGTCCGGAGGTCCGTTCTTAACCTGAAACTGTTCTTAACCTGAAGCACCACTTTAGCTAATGGGGCCTCCTGCTGCTGCCATGCTGCCACTGCACGATTTCTGTTCTCATCCTGAAGCAAAGTTCTTAACCCGAGGTACTATTTCTGGGTTAGCGGAGTCTGTAACCTGAAGCATCTGTAACCTGAAGCGTATGTAATATGAGGTACCACTGTATTCTACAAAAGGTTTCCGATCCTCCTTAAAACCTACCTCTTCTTAATCTCTAATTCTCATAATTTGCCAATTCAACGTATTCCATCAATCACTGATGAATGATGGCCTGACAACCAATCTATACTATTTCTTGTTTGTCTTACTTCCTTCAAATCCCTTCCGACCGCTATTCCTGTGTCTTCCACCAAGCAGTAGAACAGTTAGGTAATTTTAGAATATGGACTTAGAATCACAGAATCTCTGTGCCCCATTTCTAAGCCATGTAGGGCTTTAAGCACCAACTCTTAATCCTTCCTCTGACTCTCTCTCTCTCTCTCTCTCTCTCTCTCTCTCTCTCTCTCTCTCTCTCTCTCCTCCTCCTCCTCCTCCTCCTCCTGTTTGGTAATGAAACCCAGTAAGAGCAGCCTTCCCTTCCCATTCACAACTTTGGGTCCCTGTCAACTCGCTCATTCTCATTTCATTGATACCAAGTGGTGAGGGTCCCCCTCCCAGAAACACACACACACACAGTCTCTCTGCTCTTCATTCCTCTTGCCGCCTTTTATCTTCACAGCTGTTTATTATGGGCTCTTCGCCAGGGAAAGAGCTGATAATGGACATTTTGTGCTGTTTGCAATTATTGCCAGTTTTTAAGGCTACCAGCCAGCACTGACAATGACGCTGCTTCCTAGAAGGCTCGTGTTTGCCTTAGGGATGGACAGCAACAGCCCCCTGGCAGAGAGGAGCATAAGCCTGTTGGAAGGATGTGTGTGTTGGCAACAATATGTTCAGTGCTAGTTTTGTGCTAGGTTTGCACAGCTCACATTTCCATCTGAAAGACCGCCTCCTTTCCTAGAGATCCTCTCAGGTGTTGAGATTGGCAGAGGAAGACCTATCAGTAATTCCTCCTCCCTCAGAGGCACAGGGGTGGTGGTTGGCCTGGGAAAGGGCCTTTTCTGTGGTGGCCCCTCAGCTGTGGAACTCCCTCACCACAGACGTGCCTTCAGGAGAATGTTGAAGACACAACTCTTTACGCTGGCTTTTGACACTTGTGGGGGGAACAGGGACATTCAGGGATCACATCAGATGCTGGGATGGCTTTTGTAATTCCGGGACTGTCCCTGGAAAATAGGCATATTTGGAGGGTATGTTTTCTCCCAGTGTGGTGTAGTGGTTAAGAGCGGTAGTCTCATAATCTGGGGAACCGGGTTCATGTCTCCGCTCCTCCACATGCAGCTGCTGGGTGACCTTGGGCCACTCACACTTCTTTGAAGGCTCTCAGCCCCACTCACCTCACAGAGTGTTTGTTGTGGGGGAGGAAGGGAAAGGAGAATGTTAGCCGCTTTGAGACTCCTTAAAGGGAGTGAAAGGCGGGATATCAAATCCAAACTACTACTACTACTACTACTCTTCTTCTTCTTCTTCTTCTTCTTCTTCTTCTTCTTCTTTTCTTCTTCCCAGTCTCTTCCCTGCTAAGTTCTGCAAGGCCAACACTTAGTAGGAAGCTGACAGGTGGTGTGCCTCCTGCTCGACTGGTTGTAAGTAGGAATGTAGACAGGTGGCTCTGGCCAAGGTTGGTGGGCCAGTGTCCTCTTTGCCCTAATGGACCAGTCTCTGCTGTAGCCCAGCACCATCTATAATCACTGGCAGTGGCTCTCCAGGGTTTCAGACAGGGGACATCCTCAGCCCTACGTGGAGATGCTGGGAATTGAACCTAAGCTACCCCCCCCCATGATCCTTCACCAAAACCTTGGAGTGGATTGTGCCATTTGCATTCAAGAAGTGTTCTATAAGATTGTGCTCTTCTGCAGAGACCCTATCTCAACCTCATCTTGGAATAAATTAAGCTTATGTGGTATTATTATTATTATTATTATTATTATTATTATTCCACAATCTTTCCAGCAAGTAAATAGATTCAGTTAAGATCACTTGAAGGTGGCATTACTTTTGTTCTTGGTTCTTTGGTTATTTTACTCACTCTGCTCCTAGGGTTACTCATTGGAGGAGCGCAGGGAGAACACCAAGGTGCTGTTCTGTATACTCCAAAGCTAAGCATTTAGGAACCTTGAAGACACAAGGTGCTTCAATTTCAAGAAAATTGAGTTCAAGTTCTGTTATGTGCAATGGAAACAGAAGGAAAACACAACTCCGAAAGAAGACATTAGAACACTCCAAATCATTTCCCCATGGACGTGCACAGAAAATGGTAGATCTTGTTGAAAGGTCATACAAGGAGATCTGCAGTGATCATTGCAATGCACCCCTAATTATAATTATTGTAATCTTATTACAATCTTATAAGATTACTGTAGAATCCTTGAAAGTTGTAGAATCCAAGGAGGGTGTGTGTCTGTGAGGGGCATGGCTGTGACTGCCATAAAGGGATTATGCACTTCTGAATTTGCCACTACTCTACTGAACCAAAGGCTATTGAATGGATAGAGGATGGGACAGGCAGATGAGGAGGTACTGGGCAAGCTGGGGCACTGTGGCCCAACTGAAAATTACCCCAAGGCCCACTCATGACAACACTGCTGCAAATGTTACCCATTCCTGATACATACTAATAGTAAATTCAGGTGCAACATCTGTATCACCCAAACTGAGAAATATATTTTTGGGGGGATGTTTGTTTCTTTTGCATATTGCACCCCCCAAAGATAACAGCCTAATGAGTACTAAGCATGCTGGTTGGTAACAAAATTTTGATTGTCCCGGAGGCAGGAGGGGAGAGTAGAATTGGCAGCCGGGTGGATGGAACAGAGTGTCCTAAATAAGGGTATGTCTGGCAGGCTGGAGTACTGAATGCTCCTCATTGCCACATTTTGTTGCAGAACCCACTTTTTTTTTTAAAGCAACACTGAACCCAAATAATTCCCACCCCCTAACATTCTACCTATGGGGTGATACTCCCCCCCCCGCAGAGTCTGATTATCCAAAAAGCAACAAGTAAGAATATAGCAAACAATACACAAAATGAATGAATGAATTATCCATGCAATAAAACATCCTTTGTCCAGCTGCATGTTGGTTCTGGCTGCCCTCATTAAAAATAAGTGCACAGGTTGAAGAGATCAGCCAGTTCCTGGCCCAGTCATTTATCATCATTTTTAGAAATATTACCATATTTCTTCGGATCGGACCCAAAGCTAAAGCTCTGTCCGGTAAGTTTTGTAGTGACATAAAGCAGGTTATTCATCTTAAATGGGGGACGGATGCTAAATGCTCGGCCCATTAATTTGGTTGCGTTTTTTAAAAAGTTTCAGATAACTAGTCTGAAGTCGTTTTGCTGGGTCATGGCACAGTAAGTCTTCAGTTGCTCAAGATTTCTAAGACTCATTTCTTCTCTCTGATGTTTATTCTAGTTCGGGCACTATGGCATCTTGTTCGCGCAAGCGAGCTAACCTCTTGGAAAAAAACCCACTCGGAAAATGGCACTATTAGCGTTTACCTCTAATAAATTTTCTTTTGAAACAGAAGCATTTCTTGATTTCATTAGTAATGCCATCATTTTTATAGGATGTACAAGGAGGGGCAGAAGTAAAATATGACCCTAAATCATTTTCATAAAGGGCAGTTGCTTGAATGATGGAAGTACCTGCAAAGTATAGCCTTATTTTACCTTCAGAAAGTATACCTACACTTTTACAAATTTTGCCTACGTTTACCTACACAAATGCTGAGTTGTTCAGAGGCTCCGCTTGCCCTCCCAGAACAGCTTAACAGTCCATCTGTCTTCCCAGGGACTTCTGGGAATTGTAGCTCAGAGAGGGAAATAGTGGCCTCTTAACAACACTCAGCAGCCTTAACAAACTACAGTTCCCAATATTATTTGGGGGAAGCCGTGCCTGTTTTTAATGCATAGTGCAGATGGGACCTAACATAGGTTCATTAATTTAAATGGGTCTACTCTGAGTAGAACTTAGTTAGATACAACCTATTGAGATATATTTTTCTGGTTAATAGACAAAGCTATGGAAAACAGATTTGGCAATAGGATTTTGCCAAATTGTACAGTAAAACACCTTCAGACCTTTGGAGCAGATGTCCAGAATCCCACTCAGCTACACGAGCAGTTCCCTTTCCCAAGGTAAAAGGGCTGGCTTACCACATTTTGAAGCACGTAACAAGGGACGCGGGTGGCGCTGTGGTCTAAACCACAGAGCCTAGGGCTTGCCGATCAGAAGGTTGGCGGTTCGAATCCCCGCAACGGGGTGAGCTCCCATTGCTCGGTCCCTGCTCCTGCCAACCTAGCAGTTCGAAAGCATGTCAAGTGCAAGTAGATAAATAGGTACCGCTCTGGCGGGAAGGTAAACGGCGTTTCCGTGCGCTGCTCTGGTTCACCAGAAGCGGCTTAGTCATGCTGGCCACATGACCCGGAAGCTGTACGCCGGCTCCCTCGGCCAATAAAGCGAGATGAGCGCCGCAACCCCAGAGTCGTCCGCGACTGGACCTAATGGTCAGGGGTCCCTTTACCTTTAATGTGACTCACCTTGTCACTGAAAAATGAGTGCACTCTTCAGACCATTAAGACCAGGGTCTAAAATCATCTAACCGCACCACTGCCTCCATATTATAGGTAGAGTCCCTTTTATAGTTGAGTACTGAGTGTAAAATGTTTGACATATTACTCTTTCATTACAGTCATACCTTGGAAGTTGAACAGCTTAGTTCCTGAATGTTTTGGCTCCTGAACGTCGCAAACCCGGAAGCGACTGTTCCAGTTTGCAAACTATTTTTGGAAGCTGAACGTCCAACGGGGCTTCTATGGCTTCCCATTGGCTGCAGGAGCTTCCTGCAGCCAATCAGAAGCCATGATTTGGTTTTTGAATGTTTTGAAAGTCGAATGGACTTCCAGAACGGATTCCATTTGACTTCTAAGGTACGACTGTATAGCCTTTCTGCGAGATTCCTGGGGCATCTGGCTTGATTTTGTTGGAGTCTGAGCTCTGGGGAGCTTGGTTTGATTCAGCAAAGCAAGCCTTATGTTCTTATATAGCTTTCAAGGAATAATAATAACAGCGAAGCAAGGGTGAGAAGTTCAACTAACAACCCTTATTTTATTTATTTATTTATTTCATAAAATTTTACACATCACCTGACTGCAAAAATTAATAATCAACAACCTCCAAGTGGTTTATGAGAAAGAAAGAAAGAAAGAAAGAAAGAAAGAAAGAAAGAAAGAAAGAAAGAAAGAAAGAAAGAAAGAAAGCCAATAACATCAGTAAGAAGATTGAACAACAATTATTCCAGCTTTTCAAAAAAGATGAAATAAGATTAAAATTTGCATCAGCTTTCTGAATATCTAGGTTGTTGTTGTTGTTTAGTCGTTTAGTCATGTCCGACTCTTCGTGACCCCATGGACCAGAGCACGCCAGGCACTCCTGTCTTCTACTGCCTCCTGCAGTTTGGTCAAACTCATGTCGGTAGCTTCGAGAACACTGTCCAACCATCTCGTCCTCTGTCGTCCCCTTCTCCTTGTGCCCTCCATCTTTCCTAACATCAGGGTCTTTTCCAGGGAATCTTCTCTTCTCATGAGGTGGCCAAAGTATTGGAGCCTCAACTTCACGATCTGTCCTTCCAGTGAGCACTCAGGGCTGATTTCCTTAAGAATGGATACGTTTGATCTTCCTGCAGTCCATAGGACTCTCAAGAGTCTCCTCCAGCACCATAATTCAAAAGCATCAATTCTTCGGCGATCAGCCTTCTTGATGGTCCAGCTCTCACTTCCATACATCACTACTGGGAAAACCATGGCTTTAACTATATGGACCTTTGTTGGCAAGGTAATATCTAGGTAAGCTTGTCTATACAAAAGTGGAGGTGCCTGCCTGATATCAATAGGCAGGGAGTTCCAAAGTGTAGGTGTTGCTACACTAAAAGACTGAATTACTATAAATGTGGAACCTGTAAGAATACCAGTTCCACTGATTGAAGCAGTCAGATGGGAGTATAAAGGTAAAGGTACAGGGACCCCTGACCATTAGGTCCAGTCGTGACCAACTCTGGGGTTGTGGCACTCATCTCGCTTTATTGGCCATGGGAGCCGGCATACAGATTCCGGGTCATGTGGCCAGCATGACTAAGCCACTTCTGGCGAACCAGAGCAGCGCACGGAAACACCATTTACCTTCCTGCCAGAGCGGTACCTATTTATTTACTTGCACTTTGATGTGCTTTCGAACTGCTAGGTTGGCAGGAGCAGGGACCGAGCAACGGGAGCTCACCCCGTCTCAGGGGTTTGAACCGCCAACCTTCTGATCGGCAAGTCCTAGGCTCAGTGGTTTAACCCACAGCTCCACCCACGTCCCGATGGGAGTATATAAGTATGTAAACTGATCCCAACTAGTTTAGGGTTTGTATGCACAGCAACTTGGCCACAGTGCCAGCTAAGTTTTTGAATTTCTATATCATTTCAAGTTAGCTGAATGCGAGTTTTGTTTCAAAGTAACATGGCTGGAATATGTGTATAGTTTTGAATGTTATGGTAGAAAAAGACCTGGAGAGGTACTTAGCAAGTTCTGAAACTGATACATGCAGACTGAGAGCATAAACCACACGAGTTTCTTTTCCCCTATGTGCAAATATATAATGGGCAGGCCTGCTGAGGCATAGTTATTTTTTGTGCATACTATAATAATATTTATCACCTACATAGCACTTTTCATCTTCAAAGTGCTTTATAAACATTAATTAATCCTCACGACACCCCCGTAAGTTAGGTAAGTAAGGCCGTTAAAATAGGGTGAATAATTCACAACGAATAATTTGTCTTAGATTATCATCACATATGTGCCTGGAACCAATTGTTCAAGCTGAAGACAATTTTGGAAAACAAAAATATGGGTGGGTGGAAAACTGGTCTCCCCTTTTGTTGCACCCTGTTGGATATCAAAGCCGAGGTGTTGTATTACCTGATTTGCTAAAAAGAAAAGGGGAAGAAAGGAAGAAAGTTTGGTTGCTTTTAAGATATTTTTAGAGCTTAGATGTTTGAAACTTGGCTATCCTTACTTATTAGGAAATGAATAGATTTTAACACATGCACAAATATCCCCTCCCCCCACTCCGCAACCAACCAGCATGCAGTGAGTGATGGGCAAATCTGGCAATTTCAGTTTTTCTCTCTTCCCTACTTTTCCATTCTTCATCTCATTCCTCCATACTGCCAAATCATTTTGCATATTGCTTTTTTAAAAAAATCCTCATAAAAAACATCACAATTTTAATGCAAATTTCTCCATGTATACATATTTTCTTCATGTAATTTGACCGAATATCCATATTTTTGCAAATCAATTTCCCTGAATATAATGCATTCGTGGTACATTATTTTCACCAATAAACATACATTCACACATCCATACATATTTCTATGTGTGCTTTACTCCATGATACACATTTTTATACACATTATTTGACTGGAGATGTGCGTTGCAAAATTCAGAGAAGAATTTTGGGCACTGTGTTTCCATTCACATTTTGTATCAGAAAGTGCAAAATAGGTAAGTTCACCTTAACATGTGAACTGAATTTTTTCCCCGTCCCCACTGACAAATAATATAGTCCCAAATAGTTGCTGCCCTGGGCTTCTTATTGGAGGAAGAGCTTGCTAGTAATGGGTCATTGCATCTGGCTGTTGACCAGAATGTTGGTGGTTCAAGCCCACCCAGGGCTGCCTGTGGTCAGGATTCCTGCATTGCAAGGGGTTGGACTAGATGATCCCTGGGATCCCTTCCAACTCTACAATTCTATGATTCTATCATCACTACCACCACCACTACACCGGCTATCATGGCTTACCAATATCTTTTCAGGTGTAATTCAAAGTGATGGTTTTTGAGCTCTAAAACCTTCAATGGCTTGGGTGCTTGAGGGTCTGCTTCTCTCTGTATTAGCTTGCTTACTCCCAGAGATCTTTGCCAGAGGCCCTTTCCTCGGTGCCTCCCACTTTCGGAGACTGGGCACATAGCTGCTGCAGAGAAGAACCTTTTCTAAGATGAAGACATCTCTGGGAGCTTTTGATAGGTAGCCATATGGTAGAAACTGCATGGGGGAAGTGGACAGGGAGAGTGTTGGCTCTAGACATGACACCAGAACCTAGAGCCACCCAATGAGACTGAGCATTGCAATATTCAGGGTGGGTAAAAGAATGCATCACTGTAAACAAGAAGGCGGGCAAGTGGGGGCTGTCTGGGAGAGGCTGGTGAGACAGTACTTTGTTTGTCCTAATGGACCAACCTCTACTGGCTTAAGTCAACTCCAAGTGCAACTGGTTCTGGATCCAAGAGCCTTTAGACCTTCTAGTGCAACCCTAGGTTCAGTGAAGGAGATCCAGAGACAGAGCATCCCCAACACATGGCTGGCCATTGTTCAATGTTACGGTCCCACACTAAGGCAAAGGATGCTTGCTTGAAGCGCAGGATGGCATTTGTGGGCCTCTAGTGACAAGGATCTAGCGCACAGTTCCACAATGGCAACCACTGAAAAGGCTAAAGAAAACAACAACAACCCTATTTAAGGTGCAGGGACCCTAAAAAACACAAACTGTGTCACATAAAATTAGAAATCAGTTCATAAAAGAGTAATAACTGACCTGCACAATGTACATTTCCTGAAGTACCAACTCATGTTGGTAGCAAGTAATAGCTAATGAAGGGTGGTTAACGAGACCCTATGCATTTTATTAGGCTCATTTTGCTAATCCTGAAAATTAAGGAATTCCAGGTGTATGGAGCCAAGTATGCAAATGATTTCCTTTTGGCGAGCTGCCGGTATCATAAAACGAGATCCTTCAAAAAAGAGCTGACATTAAATTGCAACTTGCACAACACGGGCAGGGGTGGGTTTTTTTGGTAACGTGGTGGCAAAACCACGTTAGTGGAACGTGGTTTTGTGACTTGATGATGATATGGACTGAAAAGTCAGTGGGGGGAATAAGATATTCTTTTCTTCTGCTCTTGCACTGAAGTGTAGCATTAACAAATCAAAATGGTAAGAAATACAAATGGTTCTGTTTTTCAAAGAGCTGCATTCTGTAGAGGTAAGTATAGCAATAATAATAATAATAATAATAATAATAATAATAATAATAATTTGCAGGCAGCTTGCAAGCTTCAGCCTGGCAGGAGCTGGCTGCAAAATACAATATAGACACTCTGTGTGTGTGTGTGTGTGTATGTGTGTATGTGTGTGTGTGTACCCTCCTTCACTTCCCTCTCCCAATTAACCTCCATCTCCAGGGCCTCCCCTTGTGACATCACCAGGGCCTGTTCCTGGGCCTCAGGGTCTGGAATGAACATGACCAAGCAACCCTATCTGATTTGCATGCAGGAGGTTTCTGGTTCAACCCCCAGTATCTTTAGGGAGGGCAGTAAGAAGAACCTGGAGAGCCCTAATGAGTCACCACTAGTCAGTGTAGACAATACTGAGCTAGATGGACTGATAAACTGACTCAGTACAAGGCAACTTCCTATGTGCTCAATTTGTCCCGTCCCCCCTGCCATGTTTGCAGTGGTGTAGTGAAGAGGGAACATGGGAGACTTTTTCAGAATAGGAGAAATGACAGCATCTGCTAGAGCACCAGTGGAACTGATTGACTCTCTTTGTTCTGGCAAGTTTTCCTATCATTTGTGATAATAGTAGTTTAGAGGAAGTCGGAGGATGAACAAAATAATCAAACAAAGGCTGTTTATACCATTCCTTTTCTTTGATGGGGTTACTACTTCATGCTAGCAATCTATATGACAACACTGTTTTGCAAGATGGCTTGCATTTCCAATAAAAGGTTAAAAGTCACATTTCAGCTGACTAAATAACTTTTGCTAAAACTCATGTTTCTATGGTTCAATCTGTTCTATAGCAATCAATTATATGTCTGCTGATTTCAAAAAAATGGGTTTTATGCTATAATAATAATAATAATTTTATTATTTCTACCTTGCTCATCTGGTTGGGCGGCTCCCAACAGAACACAAAAAAACTTCAAACATTAAAAAACTTCCCTAAACAGGGCTGCCTTCAGATGTCTTCTAAAAGTCAGATAGTTGTTTTATTTCCTTGACATCTGATGGGAGGGCATTCCACAGGGCAGGCATCACTATCAAGAAGACCCTCTGCCTGGTTCCCTGTAACCTCACTTCTCACAGTGAGGGAACCACCAGAAGGCCCTCGGTGCTGGACCTCAGTGTCTGGGCTGAATGATGGGGGTGGAGACACTCCTTCAGGTATACTGGGTTGACATCAACATAGTTCAACACAACTGCCTGCAATTTTAGACTCTGCATGGAGTTGTGGTGATGGGGGCCACCATGATGACCTCCTGCACTTCAGAATTTACCACTACACCATTGCCTGCTTGAAAGCGCATCCACTGGCCTAGAAGCTTTTTAGCAGCAGTGGTTTACATTCTCCTCTCAATCTGTCAAACCAAGAGAACCACAGAAAACTTTGACCTCATGCCAACTTTTTTTAAAAAAACCAAACAAACCCCACAGAAATTATTAGAAATTATATTTTATGTAAACCACTGAGATTTTTTTAAATGAAATGCAACATGTGTTTTGCAAACAAGCAAATAAATAAATAAATAAATAAATGCCAATACTGTTTCACAGTCAAATGGTACACAACTAATAGCTCAGGCAATAGATATACTAAAGCTTGCTTAGAAGTTCAGATCATTTCTGAGACCTTGTAGGTCCACACCAATTTGGAAGCAATTTGATGACAGTGGAAGTCAAATGTAACTTTCACAACTCTCTCTAATGCCTATTAGCTCAATGTGTTGTTTACTGCTAATCATATTAAAATGACTTGGGTGAGAAGAAATTGGGTGACGCTCTGAGAGCCGTGTGTGTGATTACCTCTACAAATTTGCCACGAAAGAAAAACTGTCAGGAATTCAACTTGACTGCTAGTAATCATACAGTGTGATTACTCAGGGCATTAGTTCACAGTCAGAGTTGCATGGTAGATAAGAGTCACTGCCTACGCCTTCTGGGTGGGTGGAATGTGAGAAACTAGTACCAAGAGATCACTGCCTATGATTGCTCTTGAGACAAAAGTCAGAAGCAATTGTTTCCAATGTGATCCTTTGCCAACTGGTCTGTACTTAACTCTACTAGTTACTAACAGTATTACTTCTTGCTTATAATGCCCTTAATAGACTGGTACCAGTTTACTTGCTCAGAGACCTGCACTGGTTGCCAACTTGCTACCAGGCAAAGTTTAAGGCATCCATATTAGTATATAAAGACATTAACCACTTGGGACCAATTTACCCGCCATACCTACTCAACCAATTCGATCTGAGGAAACTGGCACTGATACAAGTGCCACACAATACCCTTTTTGCATTTGTAAGAACTTGGTATTTTAGTGTGGCAGAGCAGGACCCACTCTTTGGAACTCCCTGCCTATTGACATCTGCTAAAATCTGTTTTTAGCACCTGCTAAAAACATTTTTGTTCAGGGAAGCTTATCTGAACATGCAGAATGTCAACATAGGTTTTAATCTAGTTTTGGCATATGCTTATTTTCATTATTTTCTGAATGTTTCACCAACTGTTTAACTGTTCAACCCGGACGCTGAGATCCAGCGCCGAGGGCCTTCTGATGGTTCCCTCATTGCGAGAAGTGAGGTTACAGGGAACCAGACAGAGGGCCTTCTCGGTAGTGGCGCCCACCCTGTGGAACACCCTCCCTTCAGATGTGAAGGAAATAAGCAGTTATCCTATCTTTAAAAGACATCTGAAGGCATCTGAAGGTTTAGGGAAATTTTTAATATCTAATGCTGTATTGTTTTTAACATTTGATTGGGAGCCGCCCAGAGTGGCTGGGGAGACTCAGCCAGATGGGCGGGGTATAAATAATAAATTATTATTATTATTATTATTATTATTATTATTATTATTACTGTTAATTTTATTCCTTTATTCTTTTTGATGTTCTTTACTATCAAGCAATACATAAATTGAGTGGGGAAAATAAAACAGAAACTCTAGTCTTCTCTTAAGAAGCTGGGATGTGATGAGTTAATCGATACAGGGACAGTTGTCCCGAGTCCCCCATATGTCTTGGTCTCCCACTGCTTGTGTATGGGGGCAGGAAGGAAAGTTTTGTGATTGTTTCTGACATGCTGTGTTGGCCAGACACATTTCCTGTTGCGCAACTTGGGTTTCAGTGTAATCTGCAATGCTGCAATTTTCAAAGGATCCAGAGGTGCAAGTCTTGGGCGATGCACTGCAGGGGTGATGGCACACAATTCAGAGCTGCCCTCCAGCATCATCCATGATACTACTAGCAAGCTGCATTCATTTTCCTAAGCAGCATCACCCTTGGATCTTGTTGGTACATGGGAGAACCTTTTGAAGGGCTGCATTCCCTCAGAAGTAATCTATTGGGGGCCACCTATTGGTGCTGCGAAGGTCGGAGCCAAAAGCCAGCTGTGATGTCTAATTTCTCTCTCTGTGTGTTTCTGTGGTCCATTCTCTCTCAGCTTTTCCATAGTCCCCTCTCCCTTTATCTTTCTGATACCCTTTCTCCCATTGTTTTTAACACACACACACCTCTTTCTTGCTGACACCCCTTCTCTCTCTCTTTCTCAGAGATACAATTCCAGTGTGGTTTAACAATCAAACCCTCTTCCTAGGGAACTCTGAGAGCTCTAGAAGGGAA